CGGAATTTAAAGGGAGAATTTATGATCAGAAATAAATTTTGATGGTTTTTTCTGAGTGAAAATTTTTTCCATTCTAAGTAACAGACGAGCAGATTGCTTCTGAGCAAATATAAACATAAAAACTTTTAATTGCAATATAATTGAAAATTCTTGATTTTTTGTTGGTTTTTGCAGGTTATATTGCGTTGGAGCTTGCAACATGGCAATGTGATTATCCCGAAATCGGTCAGTGCGGAAAAAATTAAAGAAAATATTGACATTTTTGATTTTGAGCTCAAACCAGATGAAATGGCAATAATTGATGGTTTGGATAGAAATTTGCGTCTCCTCGACCTGACAGCCAGGGATGGGGATCATCCTTTCTTTCCTTTTCTGGAAGAGTACTAAGTCGCCGCAGGTTGTGTGGATTTCTGAAAAAAAAAATGATTTAGTGAATAGTTGATGTGCTGTCGAAAAATATTTATTTCAGGCAAGCGGTGTTTAATTTTTTTTTTGGCAAAGGGGGGAGGGAGGGCAGGGAGGTTTTAAACTCGAGCGAGGCAAATGACCTGCTTGGTTTATTTAGAAATCAACTTGAGATCGCATCTTACTTGTTGAGTTCTATTTTATATCTTTTCGGTAATTATTACGATATTTCATGGCATAATTTTGAGAAAATTATATCTCTGGATTGTATCTTATGTTCCTACTTACTTTCATGCTATGAATATATTTCGTTTCAGCTTGTTTCACATCTTTCCAAAAGTTTCTGTCGAGTGTTTTAAAAATGCTATATTTGTTTACCATTTACACTGATCATTCCAGAATGTTGGTCTTTCGGCCTGGCCTGTTGATTGTTGCTGCCTGTTCTTCAAGACATTCCAAGTGCTGCCACCTCCCCCAGAAGCTATAAAAATTGGCTTTGATTTGCCTGGTTTTTTAAAAACACACCTTTCCGAAAAAAGGCTAGAGATCATGAGACTGCTTTATTTGGTTGCTTTTTACAGTGTTTTAACTGTTAAGAGAAATACCAGTGAGTAACTCCCGAATTTTACAGTTGATATTGCATTACTTAAAATGAAACTAATAAAATCCGCTGATTTAGCCGGTAAATTTTGATCGGCAACTTTTCAGCATCGCTCTATATCTGCATACTTTCCGTTTGAAGTTGCCAGTGTCATTTTGGTACTGATTGCAATAAAAAGTGCTGAATTTTTGCGTAATTTCATGTTCTGTTAAAAAAAAAAAGTATTATGAAGAAACAAAGGCTTCAACTTGTGTTTTTTTTGCAGGGAAGATAAAACACTTCAATTTCAGGAATGTCACTTTGACTAGATTTAGGATCATGAACCAAATCGCCTCGCGCTCTGATTCATATCACATGTTTGATTTCGGTTTTTTGCTTTGAATGGACCGAAAAATCGTCAACTGGAAGACGGTTCAACTCTTTGGAGCTTCTATTTGCTCCGACGAGTTGGTTTGACTTCCATATGATGGTTTTTGTCTAATAAGGCACAATAGCTTATTGCAAAAACGCATGATCGCACAGGCTTGATGAGATAGAAAGTGGAATATAGCGCTGACGGAGGAGGAGAAGAACATGGATATCGGTGACAGAGGTGTTTCGCAAAAGTGCTTTTCCTTTATGGCAGACATGTTTTAGCTGCTTTTCCACTTTTTTTGGAGGTGTTTTTCATTTTCCTTGTATTAGGAATAACGGGTATTAGAATCTTGAAGAACGTGAAAGTTGTAGAAAAGAAGGGGATGGGAGCAAGAGAAGAGGAGCGGGCAAAGCTGGAAACCCCTGATCGATTAATCTGATGACAGTTTTTGACAAAGTGAATATTTGCACTGCAAATCTATTTCAAAATTTCAATACAAAGGCGGTCAAGTGAAAATATGAGTGGGCCCAATTCGGATGGACAAAAATCCAAATACGCTGAATATAATCTGATAAAA